GGGATGGCAGGTTCTGGGTGGACCCGCGATGCCTGGAGTCCTCGCGGGTCATGAGGAGTCCGGACTGAGAGGCAACTGGGTTTCACCACCCGGGTCATGGAGAAGCCCGGTTGGTCATCACTCTTTAGACCGAGACGGAGAAGTCACGCCTTTTCGGCCCTGCTGGGGAGGAGGTCCAGCGTCACAGCAGTTAAGGACTGACTTGGCCAGGATTTCAGGGAGGATGCTGTGGACCCAGTGTCCAGGATCCAACCTTTCAGGACCTCTAGGTCTTAGAGAAAGTGTCAGGTCCTGCCGAGATGAAGAGCCGTGTTTCGGCACACAATAATAACGTGGACAGTAATAGTATAGGGGCGCGTGGAGGAAGCCCTCGGGGAAGAGCGGCCTCGCAGCTCTCAGGGTGGTTTCGTCCAGGAGGTACTGCGCCTTGGGTCCTAGAGGAGGAAATGTTCTCTTGAAAAGAAAACCGCAAAAGTGACTCCATCACAATACCGTTTGCATTCAGCCCAATTCTGTATTTTCAAATTTTATTCCGGTAAAATTTGGGGGGTGATAATTCCCGACTGTAAGTGGAAAATAGCTGAAGAAATTAGAGCCAGTGGTAAATTAGACAGAGTACTTACAGCTAAATAATTACAAAAGCAAAATCTTAAATATTCATTCAGCTTTGGGGGTGCGAGCCTTTTACGTTTAATTGGGGATGTGGATGCATTTTTATACGTTTGATATAATATGAGAGGAACAGAAATAAGAGTGTCTAGAGCAGAGAGATTTTTTGAACTTTTTTTTAATTGAAATATTACAATATTGTGTTAATTTCTGGTGTATAGCATGTTTCAGTCATACATATATTCCTTTTAATATTCTTTTTCATTAGCGGTTACTACAAAATATTGACTAGAGATCCCTGTGCTACACAGTACTTGTTGTTTATTTTATATATAGTAGTTTGAATCCTGTAATTCTCTGGGTTTAAGATCATTAAAAAGCCTTGACTGCTGCATTCAGACTTGTATCTTCTCCAAATCCAAGATCCTGTAATTCTCCAAGTCCCTGCTCTCTGGGTTGTTCCTATACACTGGTCACTAAAGTCTTCTGCCTTGGGATTTGATTCCTTGACCCCCAGGTAAACAGAGAAGTCTGGGGCTCCAGTCATCATGGGCTTAACCCTCAGCTCCCTCGTCCTGCAGTTCTGTTCAAATTCCTTACTGATGATTTAAGTTCAGTACTGCCCAAAGCCCTGGTAAGACACTAAGACGCCATAACACTGTGCCCACTGTGAATGCATCAGGGAAGAGGACACACGGGTTCCCCCTTCAGTCAGGCAGTTTCTCTTCTAGCGGGGTAGGCAGGTGCTCAAAAATAATAATGAAAGTATTATCAGCAGTTGTTACTAAGGACGCTGAAAGCTTGGTGCTGTGAGAGCAGTTAGCACTAAGACCTAAGAAAACAATAGATACCCCAGGAGAGGTGCCATCCAAACAGAGCTCTGAAGACTGAAGAGGAAGGAGCTTAACCAGGGGGACCTGGGATAAGAGTCTCCAGGAGATTACTCCATATCCAAGCCTTGCTGCGGAAGGGGCCGTGGCAAGAGTATGAAGAGATCTTGAGAATAGTGATGTTTCCTCTTCCAAAAATGGGACAGAACACTTAACACTTTGGGATTCAGTTAAGTGTATCCTAATGTTAACTCTTGATTTATTAGAATTTCTGAGAGCTGATGAATTGGCCTCTAGTTCTTTCAAAGTCAGGGAACAGGTCTAGAGAGGGTGACCTCTTGGTGGGTTCAGCTTCCCACCGCCCGGTTTCTAATGACATGGCAGAGGGAATCAAAAAATATGGGAAGCCCTCCACTGGCACCGCAGGCTAATTAAGGATGACGTTCATACACCAGAAATACGGAGCTTCCGCAGGTTGTTTTAAACAACTGATGTAATGGGGAAAAATGGCTAACCTGCATCTCACCCCTTATCTAAAAGAGCAGTTTTGGGAAGGAGTTGTAAAGAGCTTGACAGAACCTCACAAAAACCCTGAACTATAGTCCTTGAGTCAGGAGGCCCGGGGCACTGAGTTTCACCAGAGATTGTGACTGTGTCTATATTTCTAGAGGCCGCTGCCCACAGACACCTTCCTGGAGCCTTTCTTTTCTCATTTCCTATGTGGTGGCTATGCTGGGAAAAACACAGAAACTGCCATGGGGTCGGTTAGAGCAGCGTGACCACAGCAGAGTCAGGCTCTAGCATCCCTCACTTGGAAGAAAAACAAACAGAGTCGAAACCTCTTTGTTGTTTGGCTTCTTTCCAACCCCCTCCCCCAACCTGCTCACTAAATCCTTGAGCTGGAAAAGTGAAATCACAACTTTAAACTCTTCCCACCTCCCTTTATCTGAGCCCAGTGGACATATTTCAGTTAAGAGAGGAAATGATTAATTTTCTTTTATTTCTTTATCATTATGGTTTGACTGTTATTGGATTTATTCATATTGTCAGACCGATTCTATTAGAACTAAAAGTTTCTTTTCCTCAGTACATAGGTATAAACAAACATGCAGTTTTGTTTTACAATACACAGACAATCACTAGTGAGACATAATTTAGATTCACTCTATAGTGTGTATATTTTACCTGAAACTTTTAGTGTTTTCAGTATAAAAAGTTAAGCATTAATAAGTGAGAGAATGGGGAAGGTATAGCTCAGTGGTAGACTGTATGCCTAACACACAAGAGGTCCTCAGTTCGATTCCCAGTACCGCCATTAAAAAAAAAACGCAAAAAACCTGATTACGTCTTCCTACCAAAAACGTGAGAGAAATCAATAGTGGAGCTGTGATTCACCCTTTTGTATTTAGACCCTGTATCTGCAATATTAAAATTATAATATATAATACTATATATATAAAATATATATATAATTACTGTATATGGGCCCTCGACCCCCAACCTCCCATCACGTCCTCTTCCAACTACATGCATCTGTCCATGTGGCTAACTTTTATTAATAAGTGTATTTTTACGTTATGTGAATTCTTAGTCTGTCTTATTTAGATTGTATACATCATAACTGGCAGTCTCATAACTGCTGTGTGATCAATAAGATTCCAGTAAGAAATACTACTTTTCAAAAAACCAAAAATTCCATGCTGGGAGGGGTGACTTACATTCCACACTAGTGGTGGTCACTTTACTTACAGGATTTT